ACATGGATTTAGATTATTTGAACCATATACAAATCTTGAAATGGCATCATTGTATTGAGATTCATCATTAGCAAAACCCGAAAGCAAAGTGAAACATGGATAAGTAATAACATGCGAGGAAAGCATATACATATAGGTAATATTTTTTGTTTTTTTTGTTTTAGCATATTAATGGCATCAAATGATGTCTTATCGGTGAAGAATGCTTTGGAAAATGATTAACAAGAAGAGTTGCATCAAGTTTAATGAATGATGTTATGGCAAGGTGTTATTGAATTGTAAAGATTGGGAAGACTAATTAGCATGATAGCAAAGATTTCAGAGAATATAAAACAACTTGTTACTTGTTATTCCCTCATTTCATGTAGCCACAAGCTAAGCTATTAGAAAGTTGACTTATTTTGCTCATAGATGAATGAAGCAAAGAAAAGCTTATGGGAATCAAAATGACCACACATGTACCACATCAAGAGATCCATTACACATTCCAGGAGGTCCAGTCACGCAAGCTAGAGCTAGGAAGATGCAAGAAGCTTTAAATGGCCTTATTGAGCAGATCTAGGTTGATAAGAACATGCAACAAGTAAATCGAAGCTTGGATGATTATAAAGGCATGGTAAACATCATTCAAATTGAAGATAAGCTTTATTGAGGTTATTTATGCTGAATTACACAGTTTACATCAAAATCTCACAATTCTATTGCAATTTGTAACAAACTGATATTTCATGTTACTTTAGGTTATTTTCAATGATTTTCACATTTTTTGTATTATTTTTGGGCTGACCATTCATTTATTTGAAGCCCAATTTGTGGTTATTAGGTTTAGGGCTTAAGGTGTTAGTTTCCTATTTTGATTACAATTACTTTTCCCTATTTAAAGGACTTGAAACTCTAATTAGAGGGAGCTATTGAATCTAAGCTTTTGAGAGACTTTTCTCATTGGTTTGTTTCAGAACTTTACAAAACTTATTAAGATTATTTTTGTGGCCTTCTAACTTGACTTATCATTCTCGTTCTTAATCGTTCGAGGGTGTGGCGTCAACCAACTCTATACCTCTAGTTCTTGTTGCGTCATAAACAACGGGTCAAGGTCTTGACCTCTAGTTCTTATTGTGACATAAATAGCGGGTCAAGGTCCTATCATAAACCTGATTTGGCATTCCTAGAGTTTAAAAATCTCTTGTCATGCTGTGGGTCTCATTGATCTCTTTGGGGTTCTTCTCATCATCTTGGTATCAGAGCATTAGGTTCTAAATCAAGTTTACATATCTTTAATTTCCAATTTATAATTTAATGTCGTTCTTGTCTTTCTTGATTTCAACTTTGTTTGTGTAGCTTTTTTAAATTTGTGTTGTTGGTTTATAAAAGAAATAGAGAGGAAAGCAGAAAAATAAGAAAAAAAAAAAAGGAAAAAGTCGTGCAAAAAAAAAGGGGGAAGAAAATCGCAAAAAAAAAGGGAGATGCAAAAAAAAGGGAAAAAAAGGAGAGAGAAACAAGTGACACAATTCTGTGGTTGGAATTCCTTATATAGAGAAGAAATCTGTGACCAAATCCTTAAAGAAGAAGGAATCCTACTCCAATAAAGAGTTAGAAGATGGAATCTTACTACAATAAGGAGTTAGAAATTGTCTTAGAGTTCTATTCAAACGAGATAACAATTTTGTTTATTCCTTCCTAAGTTAGGAATCCTATTACATTAAGGAATAGTCAAGTCAATTCCTACTAGGAAACGCTTGAGCTGATCTATTTGTTTTAATTCATTTGGATTTGGTTCTTTTATTGCTTTACTTGTTCAATCCTTCGTGTCTTTTTGTTTCCTTCAACTATTGTTGCAAATTTGTTAGAGTTAGATTGTTGCAAAATAACTTGAATTGAGCTTGTCTAGTTCAATAATAAACTGAAAGAGGAAAGTTGAGTGAGAGAAAAAGGCAAGAGGTGTGAGCAACACTTGAGAGAAAAGCCAAGTTCTACAGTATGCAAAACATGAGCATTGAGTGCTATTCTGTGAAAGAGTAGAGTCAAACACGTAAGGGAGTGTTGTGAGGTCCTCTTGATGAGAACCCCAAAGAGAACAATGAGACCTACAACACAAAAAGGGATTTCTAAACTCCAGGAAAGCCAAATCAGGTTTATAATAAGACTTTGACTTGTTGTTTATGTCGCAATAAGAACCAAAGGTAATAACCTTGACCTGTTGTCTATGACGCAACAAGAACGAGAGGTATAAAGTTGGTTGACGCCATACCCTCGAACGATTAAGAACGAGAATGATAAGTTAGGTTAGAACACCACAAGAATAATCTTGATAAGTTTTGTAAAGTTTTGAAACGAACCAAAGAGAAAAGTCTCTCAAAAACTCAGATTTAATAGCTCCCCCTAATTAGGGTTACCACCCCTTTAAATAAGGAAAAGTAATTCTAATCAGCATAGGAAATTAACACCCTAAGCCCTAAGCCCTAATCCTAATACCCACGAATTGGCCCTCAAATAAATAAATGTTCAGCCCAAAATAATACAAAAAAACGTGAAAATCACTGAAAGTAACCTAAAGTAACACGAAATATTAGTTTATTACAAATTGCAATAAAATTGTGGGATTTTGACGCAAACTGTGTAATTTAGCATAAATAACCTTAACTAAACTTCTCTTGAACTTGAATGATATTTACCATGCCTTGATAATCATCCAAACTTCAATTTACTTGTTGCATGTTGTTATCAACCCAGATCTGCTCAATAAAGTCATTTAAAGCTTCTCGCATCTTCCTAGCTCTAGCTCTCATGACCAGACCTCCTGGAATGTGTAATGGATCTCTTGACGTGGTACATGTGGGGTCATCTTGATTCCCATCATTAGATGATGAGAACCCGAAAGAGAACAATAAGACCCACAGCACAACAAGGGATTTCTAAACTCCTGAAAAGCCATTATTTTCTGTTTCTAACATTCTTTGTAGGTTTTAATCATGTCAAGCAATGATGCCAAATCAACCACTAGCAAACACCATGTGGATGAATCCTTCATGCTCAAAGCAATGCAACAATTTCAGAGGCTGGATATCATGTTTGGTGAGATTAGAGACAAAAGAGACAAAATGGAGAAGCAAGATGCAGCCATAGCCAAGTTATACCAAATACAGAATGGAAGTCCAAATTTGTGTAGGAATGATGCTGATGATGATCTCAAGGATGATTATGAAGATGCACTCAACAATGATGCTCAGAACTCAAATTTGAGCATGGACAGATTTATGAGAGGTAAAGGGGATCAAAGAAGTAGGTTTAACCGAGGAGGGCAAAATATGATGAGGTGGGGAGATCGGCCAAATCGTGACTTAGGTAGCATCAAGATGAAGATTCCTCCGTTTCAAGGCAAAAATGACCCAGATGTGTATGTGGAGTAGGAAAAGAAGGTGGAATTGGTGTTTGATTGCCATAACTATTATGAGGAGAAAAAGGTAAAACTAGCAACAATGGAATTTACTGATTACGTTGTGGTGTGGTAGGATCAGCTTGTGCTCAATCGACGTAGAAATCGAGAGCATTCTGTTGACACTTGAGAAGAGATGAAAGCTATGATGAGAAAACAATTTGTTCCTAGTCATTACTACCGCAATCTATATCAACGATTGTAGGGCCTTACTCAAGGGTCCAAAAGCATTGAGGATTATCCCAAAGAGATGGAAATTGCAATGGTTAGAGCGAATGTGGAAGAAGACAGAGAAGCAACTATGGCATGGTTTCTACATGGATTAAATCATGATATAGCTAATGTGGTGGAGCTACAGCATTATGTGGAATTAGAAGATATGATGCACATGGCAATGAAAGTAGAACGGCAACTCAAGCATAAAGGAGCCACCACCAGAACTAGGCAAAATTCAGGTTCCTCATTGATGAGTTGAATTCATATAGATATTAATGTGGAATTTTTATTTTGATATTATTGATATTTGGATGAATTTGATGAGATTTTACATGATTTTCATTCTTTGTGCAGAAAAAGACTTGATTGCATAATAATAGGAGTATTTGGGATTAATTGAATATCTTCTAAAAGTTGAGGGATGAATTGCAAGAAGAAAGGTGCTTTTTTAGGACCTATATGAATGAATCTTGAGTTTTGGGAACTAAGTGCTCATCGTACAAAATCTGGAGGACCAGATATGCTATTTTACCATTGAAGAAATAGCAAAAAGGACCAGAAACTCGACATGGGTGTAGTATCGACACATAATCGGGGTATCGACACCATGGGTAAAGTGTCCAGAATTAGACTTTCTGTTTCTTGTTTTGTGTCGATACGTAAGTTCGTGTGTCAGCACCATGCATTCAGCGTTCAAAATTCAAGTTTCCTATTATGTTTCAAGTCCTACTTCTTTTCCAACTAGGGTTTCTAAAATCCTATAAATACCCATCCAAATTCAGAATTAAGAGAGCTTTGGGAGGAGGCTGGTGGCAGCCCTCTTTTTGGCATTCTTGGAGATCGAGATAAAGGATCTCAATTACCTCAAATTAGGTTTTGTTTTTCTTTAGATATTCTTATGTTCATGACTATAATTTTAGATTTTATTATTTTTATTATGAACTAATTTATTTTCCTAGGGTTACGATGTAGCCTAATCAATTTAATATAGATTTTGTAATTTTTATACTTTCAATTAAAGTTATTCGCATGAGGACTTTATATTATTGAACTTAATGCATTGGAAGCTTGATCATCTTTCAATTGATGTATCATCTTTCAATTGATGTAGTGATTTATGCATGAACTTGAGAAAGAATTGCATAAATTAGATCAATAATAATATAAACTGTGTGTTAGACTATAAGACCGAGAGATAATTAGCTCACATGTGGTAGTGGAAGAAGAGAAGAAAGTTAGTAGCTCCCCCTTCTTAAACTAGAGGTTTTCATAGAATTTAATTTTCATTAGTTTGTTTAAAATTACATAGAGATATGGTTAATTTAACAAACTAGTGAAGGATTAACTTGACTTAAGAAAGCTAGTTAATTAATTTAGGGAAATCTGTCATCACATGCAATAACACTCAATAATTTCATAATCCAAAATTTATATTAATTGATTATGATGAAATCAATGCCTTAGTACCTCATATCTTGATTAGTTTAATTTTTATTGTTATTTTCTTTTTATTATTTTTTAATTGAACTTTCTTCCTTTTCGATTGTTCAAATAAATTTGGATTAATTATTTTGGTACTAAGTTAAATACAATTCTCGTGGGTTCGACACTCTTCTCATCATTATATTACTTGGAGCAACTAGTACACTTGTTAGGGTGATTTTAATGCATTAAGTTTTTGGCATCGTTGCTGAGGATTGTTGATTTAATTAATATTGGAGTTGGTTAATTCTATATTTAATTTGAATGTTTTCTTTTCTTTTATTTCTTTACTTTGATATTTTTTTTTCTGTTTCCTTGTTTTTGTTTTTGTAGGTTTAACTATGGATCTAGTTGGCCTAAACACTGATCTAAATTATCAATGGCTTGCACAAGAGATAAGAACACAAGTTGAAGCAATAACTATCAATTGGGATGCAAAACTTGACGATGATGAACTTAAACGATTTCAAGCAGTCATTGAAAGGATCGAATTAAAGAAGGCTCTAATAGAACAATTAAATATCACTTGTGAATGGTGTGGATTAAACCATTTTGGTTCTGATTGCTTATTTAAACGATATAACAAGTATGTTGATTTTTCTTGTGAGTTTTATAGTCAGTAGTATAATTTATATCCCAATACATGCAATTTTGATCCAAACACCTCATGGAATAATGAAGATGCATTGAAGCCACAATCAAGGATTCAAACTCAAGAAGAGGAGACATGTTTGGATAGAAATTTGGAGATCCAATCAAGTCATTCACTCAACTTAGTTGCTGAAGAAATGCAAGGTGAGTTACCTAGTGCAATAATAACAAATCAAGAAGAAAAGCTAAACATTTTACCCTTGAAGATTGAAGGACAACTTGGAGAAGAAGAAATTATGCCTGCAGAAACTAAAAAGAGGATGTCCCTAAGGAAGAAGAGGAAAAAGCTCAAGTGTCATTTGAAGTGTTCAATGGGGAGTCTCCTTTAACCAAATCTGATTTTAATGATTATTTTGTTATTGATATGGCTGATGAGATTCTGCAGAAAAATACTTATGAGGATCCATTTGAGATTTACCTTATTCAAGCAAAGGACCCAATCAAAGGAATACATAAATTGCTTGAAAACATCATCATTTTCCTTGGAATCAAAGGGAGCAATTATAGTAGAATTGGGAAGGCATATCTCCTGGCCTAAACCCAAACCACCTTAGAATAGTCATCGGAAAAAATCTTATGGTGGATTCAACTTAAAGGTAAGAAAACCAAGATTTAAGAAAACAAGAGGACATGCCCTACGACCCGATCCAAAACCATCTTGGAATGGTAGAAAGTCTAGCTAATGACTATAAATTCAGCGCTTCTTGGGAGGCAACCCAAGCATAAAATTTTCTTTTCTTTTATTTCTTTGTCTTTTATTTTAATAGTTTAGATTTTTTATTTTTTCTTTTTTCTTTTTTCTCTTTACGACCCAAGTTAATGCATAAATTGTTGTTCTTTGATTTTGGCCAAGTCATTGAACAAGTTTGGGGGACAAGATTATGAAAATTCACATACTAGAAGTCTCCTCTAATTGAAGACAACTCAACTTCAGAACTTAAAATTTAAGTCTTCAAGTGCAAAAACCTGGAAAGTTTCTCTTTTCCCTTACTTTTATTTTATATGGAGGACAATGTTTGATTTAAGTTTGGGGGGAGAATAACTTTTAGGTGTCCATTCTTACATTAGTTTGCTTTCATATTTGCATGACATACATTTTTTTTTCTTTTTTAGAAATTAGGGTTTTTTTTTTTTTTTAGGAGTTGGTCCAATTAGTTTCAAGGAATTAAATATTCTTGAGTTGGAAATTCAAGAACTTTTAAAATCTTTTAATCTTAGAGGAAATACAAAATCTGGAAAATAATACCATTGTGATGAAGTTTAAGTTCATGAGTATTATATTCTACTTGATCACAAGTTTGTAGTGAGAAGTTTTAGAGAGAAGACTTAGTAGCACCTAAATAGCACATAAAAAAAAAAAAAAAAGCCAATACAAAAGAGTTTATTAATTTCTACTCCAATGTTTTTAGTTGCTTAGTAACTAGGGGTTAGGCATGAGACCCATGTCAACTTTCACATCAAATAGTGACTTGAAATATGAGTATGCAAAGCACTTTGAGTTTATGACTTTTTGAGTAACCGAGTGCTTTCATCACAAATGTTAGTATTTGTGTCAAAAGACAAGTCATAGCTTAGGGAAGAATGTGTTGTATGGGTGGGAAAAAAAAAAGAAGTCGAATGTTTTGTGGCCTTTTTTACTTGAGTAAGTATGTTCTTAGGGGTGTCTCTTCACCTAATGCCCTAAAGCCAACTGGTTTAGGAGTCATTGACAAAAAGCTCGTTATATGGGTAACTTAGAAAGCCTAAGTAAACTCAATATATGAAAAAAAAAAAAGAGAAATATAAAAAAAAATAGTAATAAGTGCTAAGGTGTGAAGGTCTTAACTTGAGACTTCTTACTAAAAATTTCCACACACACTAAGTGCTCATGGGCTAAATCTTTTAACAAGTGGTGTGAAGAATAGGATGAGTATTTGACTTTAAGTGAGTATATGAAAACTCTTGAATATTTGAGACTTTGTATCTAATTAAACTTTAATTCCTAAATTTTCTTTGCATGCATATCATATAGCTGTATTCTTGCATTTGGATTTTGTGGGTAGATCCGCTGAAAGCCCTCATGAGACAAATTGCCCACTAGGGTGACCCAGGGATTTAAAGGCTTGTTGCACATGCTAAGTGCAATCGTGATTCCTACAAAAGTGAGTTAGGTTTTATTTTTGTTTCTTTTGTTTTTTTATTTTACTTGAGGACAAGCACTCATCTCCTTGGAAACTGAATTAGAGTAGAAAGGAAGACAATTCTGCTTTTAAGTCTAAAACTATAGCATCTAAGTTAAAAAAAGTTGACAACAATGAGAAGAGTAAAACTAACAATACACAAGGTAGAAACCAAGTGTTTTTGATGCTTGGGAGGGGGCATGTTGCATCGCAATGTCCTAATAAGCACACGATGATCTTAAGAGAAGATGGAGAAATTGAAACCTAGGGTGAATTTGATGATGAATCTATGCCATCATTAGAAGATGCTGATGATGGTGTGGAATATGCCATTGATGGAGAACTGCTCATCACCAAGCAAGCTTTGAATGTGCCAGCCAAAGAAGATGATGAAGTGCAACGTGATAATATATTTCACAAGAGGTGCCATATCAACAACAAGGTATGTAGTGTGATTATTGATGGTGGTAGTTGTACTAATGTAGTTAGCACTGTTTTGGTTGAAAAGCTTAATTTACCTATGACAAAGCATCCAAGGCCATATAAGTTGCAATGATTAAACAATTGTGGAGAAATCAAGGTAAATAAGCAAGTTTTGGTTTCATTCTCTATTGGACGATATAAGGATGAGATATTTTGCGACATGGTTCCTATGCATGCTGGACATTTACTTTTAGGGAGACCATGGCAATATGATAGGAGGGTAACACATGATGGCTTCAAAAATCGCTATTCGTTCGTCATGGAGGGGAAAACAATTACTCTTGCACCATTGAGTCAAAGGTAGGTTAATGAGGATCAACTGAGAGTAAAAATAGAGAGTGAGTTAAGAAATGAGAGTGAGCTTGAGGGTAGGAAAAACAAAGAGAAAACAATAGAAAAAGCATCCAAAAAGAGAGAACAGATTGAGAGTGTTGAAAACAAGAGAGAAAATCAATGAGTGTTTATGCAAAAGAAAGTGATGTTAAGGCTACGTTCTTTGCAAAGCAGCCTATGTTTGTGCTTCTATATAAAGATGCTCATTTCAACACTAATGAACTTAATGATTCTTTGCCTAGTGTTGTTAAATCTCTTTTGCAAGACTTCAAGGATGTGTTTCC